ATCTGTAGGTATTCAGAACAAAATTTTGTCCCTAATATCAATGTTATTACTTGAAAAAACTTGATGAACTCGCCGGTTTTTACCGGTCTGGAAATACTTTTAGACCGGCCGGTGACTGGCCGGACCGAACCGGTCTAGTATTTCCAGACCGGTTACAACTCTGATATACCATAAAGGATCAAATATTCCAAAACTTATAAAAGAAAGCCTCTTCGATATTCAGGCCTGAATAAAAAAGACGTCTCAAACGGATTTTGACTTCACAGTCAGATTCAGCACACTTGATTACCTATAATAAACTTTTTTAAAAAATTTTGGTTTTCCAAAAACCCAAGAGGCTTTCTGGAAAACGCTGAATGAAGATCCTGCTGAATTTTTATCTTCACCATTGAAAAGAGCATACTCTGAAATAGGCTTCAGAGTATTTTCTGTCTTTTATTGCAACGTTTTATTAGTTTACAAGTCATGTGTGCCTGCTGTGCGAAAATTGCACACTGTGTAAGAGTGGCAGAAACAGTAAGAAAACAGACGTCTGAAGCACCATCCTCGAGTCTAATAAAGGAATTAGAGCCTCATGTAAATGAGTCGTCATTGATGATGTGACATATGTGTCAGATATTCTGAGATGCTGTTTTATCAACATGTGACGACAAAGATTTTCAAATGTTTCTTCCGGCATCATTTTACGAAAGGAGAATTGAGAACGTCTGAAATTGTTTGAAACCGTACAAGATCAACTTTAAATACATCTGAAAATTTTGAAAAAAATATTGAAATATGTGTTTGAACCATAGTTAGGTTGATTAAAACTTCTTTTTCATAACATGTGTCGGTTTTACTTCTTTTGTCGCTTGTAATAATTCTTGAATTCGTACATCTTTCAATTGTAGTACATGCTCCAACCGTCGTACTTTCGCATGCAAGACTTCTAATTCTTCTTGTTGCTTTAGGTTAAGTTGTTTTGCTTCTTCATATTCAATTCGCGGCACTGATGTACTTCTCATAGCACGACCGTTTTTTATTGTTGTTGAGCCTTTCGGCATATGAACTGAATTCAGTGCAGTTGTTGTTAATTTAGTTGACCGTCCACCAGAATCAGAGATACCAAATGACATTCGACTACCACGTGGAGTAGTCTGTTGATGTTGCTGAGATTTTTGTTGCAATTCTAATTCTTCATCAATTTTTAACCGTAGATTATAGAGTAAAACTTCGACGAGACCAGGTTTTCCATTACAAAGACCTGTGATAATTGTATCCGGTAAATCAAGGCCAAATGAATTTAAAACTTTTTTATTTAATATTCCCCAGTTAGTTCGTTTTTGTTGAATACTGTTTGCTGTTGTGTAATTATGCATTTCAATCAACTCGGGGAGATAGTAACGAACAACTTCAGCGACAAGTACACCTGAAAGTTGTCAAGAGAAGTTAGTGAGCTCTTCCAGAAATATACTGCATAAGCACACTTACCATCCGAAAAATCTCTCTCAATCCGTTTTTTACTTTTCGATAGTGGCATACTGTCAATCCACACGTAAAGATCTTCTAAAATATTTTCATCTAATTCCATTTCCCATGCCATTTTTGGTTGTTTTTTTTGTAGAAATAAGTACTGAAAAGAAAAGTGGATCGAAAATCACATCGTCAACACATAGATTTCTCTTCACACAATATTGACAAATTAATAGCCGCAGAAATTTTTTTCTAAATTTGTTTTTTTTTGGTATTCTCCGTGCAAAAATGATCTTTTTATGCAAGCCAGAATCATTTAAATATCCATAACAGATCAAACAAGTTGTTTCTCAAATTGCAAAGTGTTTCATTACGAGTTTCGAATAGTCATACTTGGTTCTTGTCTAGATCGATAAAGAAATGTGTAGAGAATATTTAATACGAGAAAAAATATGTAAAAACTTTTGTTCTTTCCTTCCTGTTATTGACTAATTAGTACTAATTAACATTAATTTAGCAGAATCTACTAGCTCAGACCCATTTGTAAAATAACGACTGAACAAAAGAATTTAAGCTATACCTCCAATTCATTCATTAAAATTTTTTTATAACAGTCCTGTGCTCAAAAACTTAACAATATTTTTTAAAGTAATTAATTTTTTTCTCAGCCAGACAATGTCTATAAGCCGAAAAAACTTCAGAACATATACTTTTAAGTGTCCTCCACAAACTGGGAAAATTTAATAAAAAAATTCAAAACTAAAAACTTTCTCTAATTTTTAGCAATATTTTTACAACACCTTGAACCAAATTTCGCTCGAAGGAAGCATTTTCAAGGGAAAGTGTGGGTGCGAAAGCTGTTCAGAATCAGATTCCCTGGAATATGAACGGGGAATTTTTTAAAATTCGTTAAACTGAACTTTTAAATTCAATTTTACTAAATTTTGAAATTTTAAAAACCGTATTTTTCAATTTAAAAATCGAGTTTAATGAATTTTGAAAAATTCTTCGTTTATATTCCAGAGAATCTGATTCTGAACAACTTTCGTATTCACACTTTTCCTTGAAAATGCTTCCTTCGTGCGAAATTTAGTTCAAGGTGTTTTTAAAAATACTTCTTGCTCCAAAATGCCATCGAGCAGGTCAAAGCGGAATAACTGAGTCAAAACTTGACCGAATTTTTTGTAGATACATCTTGATATCCTCTATAGATTGGCATAAAAACCGAGGTTATATAACCGACTCGATTTTCTCCAGATTTTTCAATTGTCGCTCAAAAGCAACACACTGTCTCTATATTCAACGTAATAGATTGCCTATGTTCTATGTGATTTGAAGGGCAGTTAAATTAACTGCGCATCAATATCAGAGCACAAAGAAAATTTGACTCCAAGCGTGAAAATAAAGATCTCACTAGATTTCATGTTTAGAGACAAGAGTTATCTATCTGCGTTTCATTTTATTTCCTAAAGAACTAATCTCTAAAAAGCAGGTACTCTACGAACCTAAAAAGGACTTAAACTTTTGTCAGCATCTATAAACCTTTTTAAGGTTGCGTACAGCATCCTATATCCATCACTGGGAAAAACTTGTATAGAACTGTCCCTCAGGCGAACCAAGTGTTTTCCAGTCACGGATTTAGGGTGCTGGCGAAACCTTAAAAAGCTGTACGAAACCTTAAAAAAGTATAGATGGTGACAAAAGTTTAAACCCTTTTAAGGTTCGGTAGAGTACCTTTTTGTTTTAGAGAGTAGACTGCTGATCGAATGATCTTTCGAAAAAGTCTTTTGAAATTTCTTTTGCTTGTGAAAAGCTGAGCTATCGACTGCCGAAAACTGTTTTTAGCTCCTTTCGATCAAAAGTTATTTGAAAAGGTGAAATCTGTGCTACGTCGGAGTGTATGTTTGTTAAGGATGATCAAATCGTTACAAGATTTCAGACTATTGTATAACAATTACATCGCATAAATGAAATCAAGGCAAAATGTTAAACGTGAGGATTCGAGCTTTTTTTCTTCAGCACATAGTGTTTTTGAAGCCTGATGTCTACGAAGAAAAATGATATTTGATAAAATGGCTACGAATCAAACTTCAACTTTTTTACGCCTTTAATTTTCTAAGATTATCATGCGTTTTTCTCTGTAATTTTCACTGTTTTCTCGGTATTAAAAACGTACGCTTACCTTAACTTTGTTGGTTGACGTTAACAATGTTGTTGTGTAAATTATTTGTATTTTATTTAAGTGGCATCGTTACAGAACAGATTGCGTTTTTTGTGAAGAACAGGAAAAAAGAAAAAAGAAACGTTTTGATTTTAATTGTTTATAACAGAAAATTGTCATGGAAGTAATACGCATTGTTCTCATTTAAACTGTGACATGAATTGTGTTCAGTCTAACGCAAGAATTGTATCACCCTTTCTGGATAAAATTGTCATTGTTCTTCAATCATAAATTCTCTGTATGAATAGAGCCCTGCTAAGTTCTTCTAGATTTGGTACCCGTAGGTACGGATCAGAAACGAAAAATTTGAAAAGTACGGGTACGAGTCTGAATTCAGAAAATTTTTTGCTGGTTTGTGTCTATACCCGTTGAATCAATAATCTAAAGTCTGGAGTTGCTTGTAGTCTAGCGAAAATGATAGCGAGATCCACAGTATCACGCACATTGTACAAGAAAATGTTTCGTATTGTCATAATTCATTGCTTTACAACATCATTCAGAATCCATTACTCCGACAATTAATCTCCTGTTCATCAATCTTGTTCGATATGACATTTTCATTCGCGATAAAGTGTAAAGTCTTATATTTTTGTTAAATACTAATGGACAGATATTTCCCCTCACAGCTTACGGTAGTCAATGGACTTGAGATCAAGTACTTAGCTGCTTACAAATTTTTTAAAGTACTTGATTAAGTACTTGTCAAGCATTTTTAGATTTAATACGTACAAAAGACCTTGGGAGAACTGCGGATACTTGGATATATTTCGCAAGTACTTACCAGGTTACCAGCCAAATACTTGATGAAGTACTTACCTAGTACTTATACTTGTTAAATTACTTGATAAATACCTTTTTTTGCTTGCAAAAAACTCCAGATACTCTGGACATTACTTACCCAAGTACTTTTCTAAGTACTTGATCTCAAGTACATTCACTACCGTGGTGCTTTTAATGCCATCTTTTGCATACGTCAGTTTTTAAGATATATGATCAAGTAGAATGATATTACAAAAGGTAAATTTTCTGTTTATTCACAATTACGTAATGCAACCAAAATTAATTTAGTGCATACTGTCGTTCGGTTTCATGCCAGTCAATTAAATGTGTAAATTATCGCATTTTTCATACGCTCTCCTGATGTACATTATCGAAATTAAAAAAAACATATAGGTTTTGGTAGAAAAATGGAAAAACATTATTATTGAAATAATATTGGCTATAAATCCAACTCGTAGAATACTACAGTTTTGTGTTATATGTTTGAAAAATTTTCGTCTACCAAACTAACAACCACCACTGAAGATCGTTTCATTGATTTTCCGATAATGATTGATGTGGCGTATAGAGGAACATTGAGGATTTCGCTCGTTTTCGTTGTTGATTATGGCGAAAATAGATCATTACCGTAAATATGGTAAAAATAAGTACGCCTACACTACCACCAGTGAACCATAAGATGGAAGTTAGATATTGTTTACTAGAACTATTATCTTTACTGTGTTCCACAGCATTAGCAGCAACAGAACTAGCATATCGTGATTTACTACTGTTTAGTAATAGTGACGATCCTTTGTAGAAAAACGATGAGAGCAAATGAAGAATGCTTATAGCGGTAAAAAGTGATACACTCACGTTCTGTCACATTTAATAGCTGTGCCAAACTTGTGCTATTTAATAGCTGTGCGAAACTTGTGCCATTTAATAGCTGTGCCAAACTTGTGCCATCTATAGCAGCTCAAAACATTAAAATAATAAATTGTTTATATATATAACAGACAATTATACTTACCAAATGGTACAACTGTTGATCGCTCACTACCAACATCTTTCCTTAGTACGAACAATGCTAGAAAGGACATGATAGTGCCGGCCAAAATAGTGGCTAGAACGAACCACAACATTTTATGCTTGTAAAATGAACGACGAGGTTTCTTATTAACTCCGATGCCAGAAAAGCCAGATCCATCAGCTTGTAATGGCATATGAAACCGTTTTTCATAGATTTTTTGTAATTCATCTCGTTCAGCGATTCCTTGTTGTTGCAGTGAACGTAACATGACATCATTTTGAGCAAGAATCATTTGCTTTAGTTCTTCTTTTGTCGCTCGATTTGCTTGTATCTGTTGAACGCTGCTCAGTTTTGTTAGAACAAGTTGAACCAGTAACATAACTAATAACCCGAAATGAGTTTTAGTCAAATGAAAACAAGAAAGCATGTTTAAAGAAAAGATTATGAGATTTTTAGAGTAAAGAATGAATTGAAATCTTGAAAAAATGATTAAAAAGCAGTCAGACAGTATTCAACATTGGAGAACAAAACGCGCTAACGAACAACAGCATCACTTGTTATTTTTAATACTGATAACGACAGTAGAACCCGTGCTCTCTTTGATTTCACATCACCTTACTGCTTCAGCTACCGACTGAATTCACAAAGCATGGTGAACAATGAATAGGAACTATACTGACGGTCCAAATCTGATATTACGTAAAGGATATTTTCTTTCCTTCGGTAAAACTCTATGATTTTTCTACTTATTTAACTTGTGAACCCTTTTTAGGAAAGAATTTTGAGAAAGTCTTTTCTTTTTCTCTGATGAACAGCTTTTCAAAATGGGCATTAGATGCAACAAGTTAAGCGCTGGACCAATTAAGACTGAATACATGGGGTGAGATAAACTAGGAGCAAACGCTGGTAAAAAGTTATTACAATCAGTGTAATTTGGATGAACTATATCGTAACTAACAAAGCCACCAGGACTCTACGATCACCTGAAATCACAAGGTAGGGTAGGGTCATAGGGTGGGATAGGGGGAGCGTACCACCATTTTTCACAGGGTAAGGCCAGGGCTCCAGAAACAGCTACCCTGCACATCTCTAACATAGACGGGTAGATGAATATTTATATCTTTATTTAGATATGCAATACACTTTGTAAATTTGTTACAATCTGTATTATGATCTTTGTGCAGATTCGATGTAGAATTCGACGAGGTTGTAACTTCTATGATAGTTTTTCATTCGGGATTATCAGTTTGCCTTATTCATCAGATTTTGGAGGTTTTGTCTGATCGCTTTCTGATTTTGGGCTTTATCATGATTTATACTGAAGAACGTAATTTAAATGATAGTGCCAGGACTTGTAGAATAAATTCCCAAGCAAAAACGACCCAATTTTTTGGGTTATTTATCTAGATTCAGGTCCACGCGCATCTAGATGTACGTGGAGCTGAATCTAGATAAATAACCCAAAAAATTGGGTCGTTTTTGCTTGGGAATGTATTCATATTTTTACAGTTAATGTGTTTTGACGCTGAAAGTATTTCACCCAGAGCTTTCGAATCGACAGATTCATCTTCAGTGGAAAAACTTGTGCATATATGAAAAAAATTTGACTACAGCTACATATGCGTATATGGAACCTACTAGAAAGGTCATGGCGGACTTCAGTTCACATACATATGTAAGAGAGAGCGATCCATCATGCCCTTTCCAGTGGATTTCATATAGTATATATCTAACTGTAGACAAATTTTTCTTCATATATGCACAAGTTTTTCCACTGAAGATGAATCTGTCGATTCGAAAGCTCTGGGTGAAATAATTTCAGCATCAAAACACATTAGCATCAAAATATGAATACATTTATACTGGAGAAGATCAAATCGAAAAAGCATGACGATGCAACATACTCATGTTTATATTGTCTGACTTATTAATTAGACTGGATTTGCTTCACTCCCGTCTCAACTACAGTATCTTCTAGCTAAATCTTTTCGGAATATTACCTAATTTAACCAATACAAGCTATCAGCGACATCTGTAAAACGCCTAATTGCGGCTGAAATTCTCTGTGGTAACCGTTATTATTTTCCACCTTAACTAGTTCTCTTACAGCTTTCCAGTTTCTCAGCACTATGAAAGTGTATTACCACCTTCGATCATGTTCAGTTGTTATTCGTCGCGTAACGATGAACAATAAATTATGGATTTGTTGTTAACTGTTTTCAGTGCACGTGGTCCTGAGTTGAGTTGAGCGCTTGTGCCATATCGTTATGGATGATACCTAATCTATTGAGTTGTCTTATACAGTTTGAGTACTACAAACGAGAGTAAAATGAAAAAATTCGACCAAAGACTTTTTGTGCCGTTTTCTCATTTTTGGCTAGTTTGCGACAGCTGGCCACCGTTGTAAAGCTGGTAGGACAAGTTTTGAGTATCAACACTTATACTACTCGAGCTGCTCCTTCACATGGTATGTTGAACGTCGATGTTAAGTCTATGGATGTTGAGAAAAACAAGATCAAAGTTGCTTCATTCCAAGATAGGTCGAAACTTGACATCCCTAACAAGGCATGTAGTATATGACTTTTTTAGCGAACAAGTATGGTATTCTATATAACTTTCTATGCCCTACTTGAAAAGAGTATTGACATTTTTGCGGCTCTTTTGTTTGTATTCACTAAGGCCTGGATGTAAGTACCCACCGAAGATTTCTCTGTCATTGTAAATTGACGAAGTTAAAAATTTTGTGTCTCAAACGCATTTAACGTCGCTGATAGATACGCTTGAGTGCGTCTAGAATGAAAGATCTGGAGACATTCAAATGCAAATATTAACATGGAGCCACTCAACATCTGATCCCCACGCTGTTTTTCAACTAAAATCTGTGGGAATGTCATCTCACTGCCCTTACGGCTACGCCGCAGTGCAAAAGTAACGAAATACAGAAATGTACTGTTGAAAGAAGCAAACAACCGCTACTACTTCCCTAATCCGTTTTATTTTCTTTATTTTGCTTTGTAAATATTTTTTCTGTTCACATAATTACAGTTGCCTGCACTGTTTTACTATTTAACATATCCAAGTATTTTGTCGTCTTAGATATATGACAGAGTTCATTTTACTGATGACTGGGAGAGGTAGAAATTAATAAGAGTTGCAAAGAGAAGGATCTAATTAATAGTCGCTCTTCAAATATTACGAATAGTTTGTGCGTTATTAATCAAGATTTGTTGCATAACTTATGAACCAACGGCAGCGGGACGACTTCGAAACCATGGAGAGAAGCATTTTTTTCGTAGACTCACTAATAGAACGTAGTCGCGTAGCTAGGATTTTGTTAGTGGGTGTGCGTTGCCCCAAGTTTGTTCAAACTGGTAGACATTAGCGCAGAGTAGTGTAAATTATCAAACTTTTAGTGGGTGGGCTGACGAGGAATCATTCTCAAGTGACCAAATCAGTTTTTCTTCGTTCATATGTGGATCGATAGAGTATATTGAGATAGCCAAAAAACTAAAAGGATTCGGATTCTTATTGCTTTCTGCGAAAGTTATTGGATTTTTTTTTAGTTTTTCTTTCAGAGCCTAAAAAGATTCAATATTTTAGTTTCATAAAGTTTTCTTTCCTTTCTTATGTATTAAAAGTTTTTTCTTATACATAATCTGATAGAAGAATGCCTTCTCTTCAAAATGAAATGTCTCCCAGAATTTTTCGATGAGTTTTGGTGAAGATGTAAGCATCACTAGAAATGCCCTACAAAAAGTGACCTGTGTATAAAATACGTTTTTAAAAAAATAGAGTTTGTGCACAGGTCACTTCTTTTTTTTTGCCACGTGAAAGAGAAAATTTTTAGAATTTACGGGAGCGTCGTCTTCACAGTCTACATGGTTCTGCTGGCTCTGTTGTGCACAATGTTTATATCTGAAATCAATGTTTATCTCAGTAAATTTCGAGAAACATAAAACCCAAAATTTTCACCAAAACCTGAAAATCACCGGAAACTTTAAAATCATATATCATTCGGCTCAGTTTTTGACGCTGACTCTGAATATGATACTGTTATTGCATAAAAAGCGAGTTCTAGTGGAGAGAATTGAGAATTACGGACAGAATTCCGATTTTTTCGCTACTGATTTAGCAAAAGTGAAATTTCTCAGCAATGGAGAGAAATTTCAAAAAGACGAGTTATACTTTTGTAGTTCGAATGAAGACTGCTCGAATCGTGCAAGAGTGAACATTCTATCTTTTACCAAAAAAAACTAGATAGCTTTTTCCGATGAGGTCTCCGCTTTGGAGATATCCTTGAAGATGAATTTTTCGTGCAATGACATTACATATGGGAAGCATAAAAGGTACATTTTCTAATTCGATTTTCAACGCTGGATTAGAAAAAAGTTGTTTGAGAGTTTCAAAACAAAAAGGAGAAAAAGTGTTCAACTTTTTTTCGAAACGGGAAAGTTTTTCGGCTGTTAAGACCCTTCCCGTATTTCAATTTTTCGACGCGCAAACGTGTACTGGGAAGGCGATATTGGTGATCAGCTTCAAGTTCTCTATCGAATCATATATAAAGAAACTAAAAATAAAATAGTACTTGATTTTTGAGTTACGCGCACCTTACCTGAGATGTACTCCTCTCCTTACGGTTACCAGGCAATATTTATCTAGTTAATTATTATTTTCTTGGACGCCTTCTCCTGGCTACGTTTTCTCCACAGTGTGATGAGGCAGTGATACTGCCGACGTACAGCTGGTGCTCTGGCACGTGATCTCGCTCAAACGTTGGACTTTTGAAGTGCAGTGTATATCTAAAGTTGGGAGCCTCCATCATTTTGAAAGTGTTACGGGAACTTTCAAAGAAAATACATGATAGAAGTTAAGTAATTTTTCTGTTGTTTTCGCTTCTGAAGAAACAATTGTCAATTAAAAACGACTTTTTTGAACGAATATAGTGTTTCAAATATTAATTTTTTCGACGTTAAAATACTAAATGGATCAAAATTTATTTGAAACCAGTTTCATTTGTTCTCTACTAGTTTATGCGCTACGATGGGCTATGTGTGTGATAAAATAAGTAGCTTCGTATGCAACATTATTGTCTGACTGCTCTCTCGCGTCTTTTCACTGTTCATGCAGTAAATTTACGTTCTACGGTATCTTTCTCTTTCAGATGAACTGTTACATAACTTTTGGCTCTCAATCGCTGACCTCCATCATTGCTGACATGATACAACTTACTTCTGTCCATAATGGCAACGGTAAAGAACGTTATATTTTGAAGAAAAGTCTTTGTGAACGTGTCCAATCCCTAGTTAAACGTGAACGTGTTGAATTATGCCATCTCATTTGTCATCATACCCAATCAATTGATTATCCTACGTTTGCCTATGTGGTAATGAAATCATCTCTGATCGATGAACTATCATTTATTTACCTCAATCGTTTACCCAACGAATGGTTTTCTGAACTATTTGTCGACTATATTCGTCATTATGAAGATCGACGATCAACAATGACATATACAGATGGAATATTGAATTTACTCGTTATTGCTACTGCATATCTGAATGATCTTGAGCGATGTAAACATTTTTTAAAACTAAGTTCTTATGCCAATATAAACAATTGTGAATTTTGTTTCGGTTCACCATTACACATATGTTCAGTTAAAAATTATCTCGATCTGGCCAAATTTCTCATCAGTATTTCAACATGTGATTTAAACGCTAGGACATCGAATGCACGTAAAACACCTTTACACTGTGCGATTATTCAAAATAATTTTGATATTGTCGAATTACTCATCCAAGATGGGCGCACTCGACTTGATTTGAATGCATTGACACAGTTAGGACATACACCATTGTATTTGGCCGCCTATTATAATTCAATTGAATGCTGTCAGCGATTATTGAGAGAAAAATTGAGAATTCAAATTGATAGATATGAACCAAATTGGAATTTGACACCACTGCACATTGCTTGCTCAAAAGGACATGCAGAGATAGTGAGACTTTTAATGGAGAATGGAGCAAATGCATATGCAATCGAGCGATCAAATGTTGGTATGACACCATTAATGAAAGCGTTATGTAATGGTAACGTGTCTACTATTCGTTATCTCGTTGTTGATTCCTGTACTATTTTAACCGACCAAGATTTGAAGGTTCTTCATCGTATATTAAATGTTTGCATTAGAAAAGA